CTCGTCAGGCTCTCTATGCACAGACAGCCGCATATGAGTCTTACTCCTATTAACTCTTCTCTTTACTAACAGGGTAGTCTTAGCTGGACAACAACAACAACAAGGTTACATTTGTATAGCCCTTTCACGTCGGGAGGACGTCCCAAACAGTGGGAAAGCTTGCTGGATAGCAATATCAATGGCAAGCTATGTTTTTTTAGCTGGTTAGATTCTGTCAGTACTCCAATGCGCAATCTGGAGTCTCCAAGCCTTGGTTCTTTCCAATCTGGAATTTCCAGGGAGAGAGTGTGCATCCCATTCCAACAATCTATCTGTGGAATTTCCTTGTGAAGGTGAGATACCTGGAATTCTCAGTTTGGTTTGGATACAATAATAATAACAATGATAATAATCCCTGCATTTAATATAGTGCCTTATCACGTCTTCAAGATGTCTCAAAGCGCTTCATACAATATACTGTAAAATAAATTGACTGCACATTTTGTGGGCGAAATTTAGCACCCAATTGCGTAAGCATGGTGATGGGTTTCCACATGTGTCAAACACCCGGCTACCAAAAAAAAATGCACGACTGTGGTCTGTTTTGTGAGCAATACATTGGATCTTAATGAAATGGAACAGTTTTATTTTGAAATATCGGAACAATTCAGTTTCATTTGGGATTCTGAAAGCCTCTAATTTTTGGTGTTAATTTTAAATGGTCTAAGACTGGTTTAGAATCTTTTAATGAAGATTATAATAAATGAAAGTCTTTTGATGGATTAATCGTTTTTGAAAAATAGAATTTAGTGTACTGTTTTTATGTCCACTTTTGGAAAATAACTGGAGATGATTTCAAGCATTTTCAAATTAGAATCATAGAAATCGACAGTGTAAAGGAGGGAGGCCATTCAGCCCATCGAGTGCGCATGGGATCTCAGAGCATTCTGTTTGGAAGCTAGCTGTTTTGCAGTCAATTCCTAGAGACAAGGGTCTTCACTGCTAGACATGTTTCATATACAGGGGCCAGTGGTTGCTTCTACTCATTCTGCTTTTCACAACTACCCATCTCTCGCAGGTCTGCCTTTTCACTTTGCCCAACGTTTGGGGTTGTGGGGGTCGGTCCTGGCTCAGGCTCAGAAACCAGACTATGGAGACCGCCACAGAGAGTTGGCTTAATTCCTACATTCCATTACCAAGCATGTCACCTTGGAGCCAATTTAGCCCTTTTTTGAGCCCTCACTCAGTGAATGGTAGGTACCATTGACAGGCACCTGCATGTTTCCCAGTGGGCAACATATCTCAACATGAATCCATGAGAGCATTGCCACCATCTTCCTGTCCACACTCACGCATACATTCCTAACTGATGATTGAGCGATGGTTCCACCGATTAGAGATGTGGAGTTTAAGCAGATGGATTGAATGTGCGTTCTCAGACTCCTGCTAACACTTTCCACCAGCTGTCACCCTAAGACTCAGAGTTTCCTCATCAACTATCTGGCGGGCATCTGTCTTAAGTGTGGTGGGAGGATCTTTACAGGGCAGCTTGTGATGTGCTAGCCAGGACGATATCATCTGCAAACAGAAGCACTGTCAGAGGGGTCTGGCACAGATACACCAAATCCTTCCCCTCGATTCCATTCAACATAGTAAGGATTAATTATACAGTCACTACACTTTACTGTATATTCCCCGAAGCGCTTTGAGATGCTCGAAGATGTGATAAGGTGCTACATCAAATGCAAGGATTATTATTATTAATTATATCTGTACTGAGGAAACTCAGATAAGGTAGTGAAACGCAGACTTAACAAGGAACTAAATGATGTCACTTTTGTGATAAAATTGTTGCGGACTTTAAAATTTACAACAACAATAACTCAGATTTATATAGCGCACTCCACGCCGGACCGGGGCCGAGCCGGGGGATAGGGAGGAAGGTGACCAAAGGTGCAGTCGAAGAGAAAGGTCTTCAGCAGGGAACTGAAAATAGGAAGAGAGGGAGAGAGGTGAAGGGAGTGAGGAAGGGAATTCCAGAGCCTCGGGGCATAGTGGCTGAAGGCACGGCTGTCGAGGGTGGAGCGGAGGACTTGAGGAACGAGGATGAGGCCAGATTAGGAGGAATGAAGGCAACGGGTACTGTTTTGAGGAGAGAGGAGGTCAGAGAGGTAGGGGGATGCAGAGGAGTGGAGGAATTTGAATACAAGGGTGAGGATCTTGAAATCGATCCTCTGTAGGACAAGCAGCCAATGCAGTCTGGCAAGGACGGGGTGATCGGGGAGCGGAGTTTGGGGCGGGTGAGAATGCGGGCGGCAGATTTCTGAATGATTTGGATTTTATGGATGGTAGTGGATGGGAGACCGGCGAGGAATAGTCCAGCCGAGAGGTGACAAAGCCATGGACTAGGGTTTCATCGGCTTTCGGAGAGAGGTATTGGCTGAGATGAGCGATGGGTCAGAGGTGGAAGAAGGCGGTACTGGTGAGGGACCAGATGTGGGGGAGGAAGAATAATTGGGGGTCAAACCTGACGCCTAAGTTGCGTACGGGTTCGGAGAGTTTTAGGGGGAGGTCAGGCAGGTGGAGGAGGTGAGAGCTGTGAGATTTAAACTTTAAAATAACTTTAAAATGATTATGCTGGAAAATGCAGATAGCAATCCAGGACCTGTAAACCTGTACACACAAATGCTATTGTTAAATCTAACAGTGTGTGTTAATCTGAGGATAGGTGAGGAATAGAAAACATGTGATAGTTGAATCATACCAGGCTGAAAAACAGGAATTTGTGATATAAGAATAGAATATTTATACTCCGCTTTTTCATACGTGTTAAATGATTACCAAATAACAGTGTACCAAATTCACGGTTGTACTGTGAATTGTACAAACAAGGGCATTGTAAACAATGACGACAAATAGAATTTATATAGTGCCTTTCAAGTCAAGAGGAAGTCCCAAGGCGCCGGGCTCCCAAGGGTATAAAGTATGCATGCTTTAAAGATATCTAAAGAAGGAATAAAGACTTAAAATTGATTTATGTTGTCTCCGATTCCCTCTGCTTCTGTTCTCAGCAAACTCCACAATTTAAATCAGATTTAGTCAAGCAGTGCAGGGTTCATCGCTTGTCCTGAATAAAATGAATCACACAGCAAGGTTCCCTACATGTCAGGACACATCTGCTTCGAACTGAGATGTATGATCGAGGCTCAGAGACAACGCTACCACCTGTGTCACTTTCATTCTGGCTAAGGCTAAGATTGAGACTTAGTGGGGTGAAACATTTTGACACAGACCTAGGTATAGGGTATGTGTCACACCGACAAATAGACCAGAGTTTCAGCATTCTTTCTTAACCTTCGCCCACACGGGAGTGAAAAACCTACAGATTCCAAAATCCCCTGACAGGGCAGCTTCATGCTTCAAACAAAACATACTCAGAATATTAATAGGCTCTAATCTGCAGTGTTTCTCAATGATTACTATAAAGCTTGGAAGTTTTTACAGTGAAACCCAGAATTAAATCATCATGTAAACAGCCTTTATCACCTCAAGGCTGGACTATGGGAACTCTTTCCTCGCCGGCCTTCCCGGCACCTCCCTCCACAAGCTGCAGGTCATTCAGCTCTGCAGCTCGTGTACCGCACCAGGCTTCGGGACCACATCACTCCCACCCTCGCTCGCCTCCACTGGCTCCTCATCCCCAGAAGATCGAATTCAAGATCCTCATCCTCAACTACAAGGCCATTCACCGCCTTGCTCCCTCCGACCTCTCTGACCTACTATCCCCCTACCTACCTGCCCGTACCCTCCGTTCCTCTGGCTCCGGTCTGCTCCACATCCCCCGCCCTAACCACCCTACCATCGGTGGCCGGGCTTTCAGCCTCTCAGCCCCCAGGCTCTGGAACTCCATCCCCCAGTGCCTTCGCCTTGCTTCCTCCCTTTCCTCCTTCAAGGCCGGTCTCAAGACCTTTCTCTTTGGCCGTGCCTTCACCTCCCCTCTCGACTCTCTACCTCCTCCTCGCTCCCTTCCCTCCCCTCACCCTGACCATTTCCCCCCTGCTCGGGTCCCGACCCAACTGTCCCGTGCCTTGAGATGTCCTCCCGATGTGAAAGGCTCTCTATAAATGCAATCTTGTCGTTGTTTTTGTAAATTGCTCTTAAGTGAATTTGGTTGGAGTATCTTAATTTGTGTGCTGTGTTTTTTGTGGCAAGGCAGTAACCTGTGCTGATTTCTTATACTGTATAAAATGCCCTTAATATTAGTTAAGAAACACAAGTAAAATAATAATAATCCTTGCATTTGATATAGTGCTTTTCACGTCTTCTAGATGTCCCAAAGCGCTTCACAGAATATACTGTAAAGTGAATTGACTGTATATTTGTGGGCGAACGCGGCAGCCAATTACGCACAGCAATGTCCCACAAACAGTCATTGATTGAAAATGACCAATTTATTATTGTTTTTTGTTTTGGAGGGATTGTTATTAGGCGTGTGAAGTAAGGAAACTTGCCCAAGGTTTCGCCCTGCCTGGAATTGAACTCAGGTCTCTCACTTGCAAAGTGAGTGCTCTAACCACTAAGCTACAGGACTCCAGTATGTGCTCTGCCTAAAGCCTGTCTGAATATAGATAGCGATTGTCTCTTCAAGGCAAACTTGGCCATGATGGCCACAAATCACAAGATGACAAAAGAGTGTGAGGATGTGGAATACCAAAAAAAGTTTCACACCAGTTCAGTGACCAAAAATATATAATCGATTACAAATTACTTTATAATTTACAGGGTGAAGGGGACGAGGGCCTGAATCGTATTATAGTGAAACACAATTGTAGGGCTTGAGGAGGAGGGGGTGTGAGGGGTGGTGGGGTGGGGGAAAAAAGAAAGGTTGGAACTACATATTAGAGCATATTGTAAACTAACACAGGAAACAGGAAACAACACCAATCAGAGGTGGGCCTTTGCAGTCTATGTAGCATCAAAGAGCAAAAGCAAACTTCTGAGATGACAATCAAACCTGAGACATTCTGCAAATTTGGTCAGATGATAACGGACGAAGCCAGGTCTTTGGTAGAATACCGTCAAGCCCATTTGAGCTGCAGTTCTGCGTGGAAACTTTTTCTGTCAGCTTTCCATTACCCTCAAGGTGAGGGCTCCTATGATTGAACTTATCCTCGCTGTCTAAAGAAGAAACTTTGTAGAAGGTGACACAGCATTTGGGGGACAATTCAGAATAGACCAGTGGATTTATGCTCCTCCTGTGAACCGACCAAGGACACACTCTGACACATAGCACATCAGGCCTGTTTTGGGATTAAGCCTTGCTATGGAACAGAGTTACAAAACTCCGCACGTTTATTCTGTGGATGGCAATCCAAGCTTCTCTCAATATCCGATCAGACCCTCATGCCCGGTGCTAGTGCCAACCTTAAAGAAACAAAACACAGACCGTATAAAGGCATGCGTCATCCTGATCTTGATCCTGGCTCTAATAATACTGGTACTGTTAGCCTGCGGCATTTTCTTCATCTTCAATCTTCGCAGCCAAATTGAGAAAATCACACAGAAACAGGTACAAATGCGTGAGAATGAGAATTGAAGTTATTTGATCACTTTCAATAAGAATCAGGATTAAACCTTTCTCTTTATTTTTACCAGATTAAGGAGGCCGAAGGTCAACATGCAAAGTTTACTGGTGAGTATGGAATGGTAAATACTAGATATTTCTTGGGCCAGTCACAAGACCTGTTTTGTGGAATCCTAGTGGAGTAATGATAAAAGTCGTCGTTAGGGTGATTACATGCAACAGGGTAAAACAGCACCACAGTAGCATTAAACACATTCAAGGTCAAAGTATAGAATACAAATAACAAAAAAGCAACATTGACTGTACCTTTTACTAGATTGTGTAATTGCAAATTACAAGTCAAAAGCAGCAGTGAACAGAAATAAGGTATGAAACATCAATAGGGCTGCCAAGTACAAGATGTGGTTTGACTGAGCTGCAGTACAGCAAATGTTCATTTACTTGTGTTTCCTATGTTGAAACTCACAAGAGGTTTTGGAATAAATGACCTAATTGATTCAGTGAACCTGCAAGCAGAGATTTCTTCACGTATGACAGACTGTTCTGCAATGCCTGATCACTGTGTACTCATTACTCCTATTTGTTCAATAGGACATAAGCAACCGATAAAGCCATCTGAAAATATCAGAGAAGCTGCACACCTCACAGGTAAGTTATTACTATGGACTTTATGCTGGGAAATTCAAAGATGGACCGAGAAGGAAAGAACTTTCTAATGCAATATGTATTGATTAATTTTTAAGCTATTTGCAATAATTTAATTTCAGGGAAGTCATCTGCTGCCAATACACTGCTGTGGGATGATACCAAGGACATTGCTTTCACCAGGGGTGTGCGTTATAAAGACGGGGGTCTGATCATCAACGAAACTGGTCTTTTCTTTATCTACTCAAAGATCTATTTCCGAAATTTGATTTGTGTAAAGGACCTGGAGTTGGAGCAAACTTTGTTCGTTCGAACTAGTCGCTATCCTAAAGATATGATTCTGATGGAAACCAAGAAAAATAAATACTGTGTTGTGAAGGATACAGTGTGGTATATAAATAGTTACCAAGCTGGCATATTTAAATTGCATAATGGAGATCACATATATGTCAATGTGTCAAATACAAATTTAGTTAGTTTTGATCAGACTAAAACTTTCTTTGGTCTATATAAACTTTAGTTTACTTCACATATTTATATGTTCCTGATAACAAGTTCCATTCTTCATTTTGTTAATCTATAGTGAAAAGGCATTTTGACATTGGTAAACTAGGAAAATCTGTGCAATTAATCTTCCTTGCAACAGAAACAACTTTGCTTTGTTGTGAGCTAACTGACACTTGCTATAGTACACATTTTATGATACTAGTAACTGCTTATATTAGGTGCGTGTATGATTAGAATTGAATGTAGGCAATGTGACATGTATTAGCAAATGTGAAAACAAAATCTATATCAATTTGACTAATTTCATTAACTGACTTACTTATCAGTAGGTCAACATCTGTAAAATATTAAAAGGAAGATTTATTTAGATTTGTATAAGTGTATATAGTCTTGGTTCATTTTGAGTTGCTGATTGTAACATGTGAGAGATACTCTACGACAGTGAATACACAGTATGTCCCAATGGAGACTTCTTTGAGCTTTTGCACATGTCGATTGTGTGTTAAGAGGTCATTTTATCGGTAACTAATTTAAAATAGGGAACTAGTCTTTGTGCAATAATGGTACACTTAGTATTGCAATATGTAAACCTTAAAACCTGAATTAATTTAATGTTTGACTTCATGTACAACTTACTTTTGAATAAATAAAGCTAATTTCATTCAAATGTTGTACACGTGTAAAGTTGTTTGTTCCATACAATGTGAAGGTATAGCCCTTTACTGGTGTCTGTAGGTATCTACTGACTATTTGTTTTGGTCAGTCGGGTGTCTGACACATGCAGAAACCCATCACCATGCTTAACAGGATCCAAATCAGATGGAGAGTTTCATATATGCATGTCACCAAAGCATGGAAATTTCTCTGTGTCTAGAATGGAGTGCACACTTTCTCCCTTGAGGGACGCACCCTGCTTACCTAATTCTGGGAAGTACTAGACATGGGTTGTCAAAAGCAGAGTGTCTGTTGGATAACTGTCAGAGCTTAACCAGTTAAAAGATGCATAGGTTTCCATTGAGAGCACTGGCAAGTTTCCTGCTGCTTGTCCAGCTAACACCACGTCTACTGATGAGTGGGAAGAATCCCTGTCCCTATTGATTGGACAAGTCAAACTGATGAGCCAACCTGACCGGTCTATCACTAGCAATGCCCTGGAGTCCTGCGAAACCAGCTGGCTCAGGAACTGGATGGTCGAGACTGCCACAGTTGGCTGACTGGATTCGAGTCCTGTAGCTCAGTGGTCAGAGCACTCGCTTTGCAAGTGAGAGACCTGAGTTTAATTCCAGGCAGGGCGAAACCTTTGGCAAGTTTCCTTACTCCACACAGAGCCTAATAATAATCGCTCCAAAAAACAAAAACAATAATTAAATTGGTCATTTTCAATCTACGACTGTTTGTGGGACATTGCTGTGCGCAATTGGCTGCCGCGTTCGCCCACAAATATACAGTCAATTCACTTTACAGTGTGTTCTGTGAAGTGCTTTGGGACATCCTCCTGATGTGAAAAGCGCTATATCAAATGCAAGGATTATTATTATTATTCATTGGAGCCAGATTAGCTTCTAACCATGGAATGGTGTTTGCACTATTGCACCTCTGACAATATTTTTCTAACAAAAAAAGCTTGCAATGATGGCAGCACCAGGTTTTTGGTGTAATGTAGCTAAAAAATCAGCATGGACGGATTTATCCAGTCAATGCAGTATCTCTGTTGCTCTGATGTTAATCTCATTTGTGCTCAAACCTACTGGTTCTACTGGTTCAATATTCTTCTCACTTACTCAAAATGTAAGAATTCTCTTGGGTGCAACAGACTTCTAGATGTAAGGTTTGGCATTATTCACAGCAAAAGCATTTGTGTCGCTCTCACCACTCATCTTAGTATTGCTTTTCTGAATGGAACACAAGCTCGGAAACTACCCTGTATCAGGATAGAAAGACTTTACTTCCTTTTGCAGATTGGGTGCTGAGGTTACTATTTAAGGGGAACAGAAGAACCCCAGACTATTAGAATTGCAACTGAGGCCAGCTTGCTGTAGCAGCCGCTTCCTGTGATTATGTTCAGAGATATGGAAGCCAATTTTTTAATCTCTCTCAATTGTTGGTGAGCAGTGAGGGAATGTCAACCTCCTCCTTTGGGGTCTGTGTTTGGGGGGTGGGGGTGATGGTGGGGGATGGGGGGCATGAACGATCAGGGGTAATCAGAGGACAGGAAAACAAGTTTGTTTGTTAAAATTACATTCAGACATCTGTTAAGTTCAACCCAATCACTCTGGTTTAATATTCTGGTTCAATATTCTTCTCACTTACTCAAAATGTAAGAATTCTCTTGGGTGCAACAGGCTTCTAGATGTAAGGTTTGGCATTATTCACAGCAAAAGCATTTATTTCGCTCTCACCACTCATCTTAGTATTGCTTTTCTGAATGGAACACACGCTTGGAAACTACCCTGTATCAGGATAGAAAGATTTTACTTCTTTTTTGCAGATTGAGTGCTAAGGTTACTATTTAAGGGGAACAGAAGAACCTCAGACTATTAGCATTGCAACTGAGGCCAGCTTGCTGTAGCATCCACTTCCTGTGATTATGTTTAGAGATATGGAAGCCAATTTTTTAATCTCTCTCAATTGTTGGTGAGCAGTGAGGGAATGTCACCCTCCTCCTTTGGGGTCTGTGTTTGGGGGGTGGGGGTAATGGTGGGGGGTAGGGGGCATGAACGATCAGTGGTAATCGGAGGACAGGAAAAATGTTTGTTTGTTAAAATTACATTCAGACATCTGTTAAGTTCAACCCAATCACTCTATGACCACTTACGAGACATTGCTGTGTGCAAATTGGCTACCATGTTCGCCCACAAACAGTCACTTTAAAGTTTGAGACGTCTCGATAATGTGATAAGCCGCTCGATCGAATGCAAGGACGATTATTATTTATGTTGCCACTGATGTCCCCAGTTGCAGTATTCCCTCTTCTCAGGATTGAGGGTTCAGTCTGAGCATTTTTTTGGTGGGGTTTTTGAAGCGCTTGATTGTTTGCTCAAGGCATCAAGCTTTCATACGCTCACAGGGCGGAGCATTCAATCACAAGAGCCCACTCTCCTTTGAGGTTCCCTGAACCAGCAAAATAGGTCAATGAGAAGTAAGGATTAAGTTCATGCTTCACAAGAGCAGCAGTTTGGAGACTCAATCTTGGGTTTGCTGCTGCGGTTCCTCCCAGTGCAAATTCCCTGACCACAGCTTAGCTATGACTGAGAAGAAATGCCATGAAAGCGGAAGAGAACAAGGTACCCTGAGTTTCCCTCACCCACCTCCTCAACATTGCCAGAAATCAAAGAGAACCCACTTTCTATTGCATGTTTGTATGCGTGTATTTGTGTATGTCTGTGTGGGTGTGGGTGGGGGCATGAGTGAGGTTAGTGTGCAGTCTGGAGGAAGAGGAGATGTGAAGCAAAGGGAATACAATGAATTAGCAATGTGAAAGGAAAGGCTTTCTATTTTCTTAAGTAACTGGCTGCCTTATTGCAAAGAATTACATAGAATGAATCTCAGTGGCATGGAAACAGGTGTTCATCTCAACTAGTCTGCATGAATCTCCACCACAATTATTGTCCTCTCCTATACCGTTCTATTCTCTCTTAAAAATAAGTTTTCTGGAACTGTATCAATCGCGTCGCCTTTTTATATAACGCTCCGATGCCTGGAGCCTGAGAAAAATTACTTAGTCGTTAGTGAGGAAGGAAAGGTCAGCGGTTTCATTAAACTGGCATCAATGCGTCCTTTTACAATGGTGTGGTCTAATTCTCAGAAGTGACTCATATTAATAGGCATCAGCTAGCTTCAAGCAGCCCCTGTAAACAACATTTCCTGCAAATTGCTTTTAAATGGAGCACAAGCACTGACGATCTGGGTCATACGTGCCAAGATATTGATTTCTAATGTCAACTGATGGCATCTCATTTGGATGATGTAAAACAAGATCCACGAGATCGCAAGGAGAGACGGTGAACAACAACAACAACAACATGATTCCATTTATTGAGTGCCTTTCATGTCGGGAGGACGTCCCAAGGCGCTGTACAGTTGGGTCAGGACCCGAGCAGGGGGGAAATGGTGAGGGGAGGGAAGGCAGGGAGCGAGGAGGGGGTAGAGAGTCGAGAGGGGAGCTGAAGGCACGGTCAAAGTGAAGATGGTTATACTAATCCTTGCGTGTAACATCGAAAATCTCAGAACGCTTTGCAAGTAATTCCTTTCAAGTGCAGCCACTGTCATTTATAAACATATGTGACAGCCAATTTGTGCACAGCAAATTCTCACAAACAGCTGCGAAGTAAATGATCAATGTATCTAGAGGATTCTTGGCCAAGATATAAGGAGAAACTCCCAACTCTTTTGGCATTTGTCCTGAGATCTTTGATGTCCACCCGCTGTAAGACAATATAATGTCTTACCAGAAGAATTATCCTTTAGCTCAACTGTTCGCAATCTTCCAGAATGCCAAACTTATTATCTTCTCATTACACCATGACAGCATGATCTACCCATTTCTTAAATGAGTGCATAATATTATGTGAAGTGCTTTATTTCTCAGTATGGTCAGCTGCTATATAATAAAATATATTATTAATTTTATTAAGGATTGCTTTTGCCAAGACTTAAGTAAGTTCTAAGTTCAAAAGGCAAACATTGTCTTCTGTAAATTGGGCACGACTAAAATTGGTTGCCATTTTCATCTCTCTTTTCCCTCTCCCCGCTCTGTGAAACATACTGTTCCCCACTTCTTTTGAAGCCTTTCCCTACCATTTCCTGATTATTTGGATGAGCAGGTGGATGATGAAAGCTCAAACGAGATTCCTGTGATTTCTAAGCCTGCCTTTTAGACCAAGAGGACAGCCAGATTAAGAATCCTTCGCAAAAACGAGACTATTCTCCTTCCAAACTTGTTTTTAACAATGTAGTGTAAGATACAAAGGTCAACAAATAAGTTTCAATGTTTCTGATGTCTTCTGGTTAGTCTTTGTGTATGATTTGATCTCTTTAGGTGTGGACAAGTTAAGTAATTGGACAATGGGCATTTGTTGGGGTAGGATGTGGGGATAGATCAGGGTGGCTGAATATTTTACCCGAGTATTTAAATGTTAGACAACTTTATCATCAAATCTAATTTCGTTTTGAAGTTTCCTTCCTGCGCTCACTTTAGCAAGCTGCTAAATGTGACACACTTTATATTGCATCTTTGTCACGTTTGAGAGTTTCTCACGATTTATAATGTGTCAGGTTTTCCCAGGGTGAGAATAGCATTGCAATAACCTTCTATCAGTTGTATGTAAACTTACATTTGATTTTGTATTTTGTGCTTTCTGATGTCACAGAGTGAAGACATTTGTTAGACTAAAAATGCAGTTATAAATGAATGAATTCCAATTTATTTGTACCACAACCACACTAATTCTAATTTATAATAATAATAATAATAATCCTTGCAATTGATAAAGCGCTTTTTCACGTCTTCTAGATGTCTGTAAAGTGAATTGACTGTATATTTGTGGGCGAAACGCACAAATATATATAGATATAAAATATATATATTTATATAGAGCCTTTCATGCAGGGTGGTGTCTTGGAATGATTAAACAATCTTGTGAGCATTGCAATGAGGTTGATGAT